TCCTGTGACCAATTATTGGTCATTTCTAAGAATTGACAGCAGTTTTGACCATTAAAAAGTGATATCAACTTGTGAACACCACCTTAAGCTGTAAAGCCAGGGCTGATCTCTTTGGTTTCTGGCTTCTGAAGAGGTAACAGGCTCTGTCTCGGCCTCCTCCCCCCACTCCAGGCCGGACAAGGCCACAGAGGGCGGGGAGGGGAGAAACGGAGCCGGCCAGCCTGGCCTGGTTTGTAGTTTCTGCTGCTGGACTGAAACCTGACACCATGAACATCTGCAGCTTTCCAAGACTTCAACTCTTTTACTACCTGGATGAGACATACAGATTACTCCTTTTTCCCAGAGAGAGATAGAGACAATCAACATGAAGAAGGCATGATAAAGCCATCAAAGACAGTGAAGAAAAGAGTTAAGTTTTAGATGGGGAAGAGAGAATAAGGATATGCTGGATAAGCTGAAATATTTTTCTGTTAAAGCTATAGAGATAGACAATAGTGTTCTGAAAAAACTCCTTTAATTCATGACAGAATATATTGGGAGGAATGGAGTGTTCACTGAGCAAAAGGTGGAGTAATTGTGATACAGTGAGGTGCTGGAACAGAGTGGAGAGAAGTAATAGTTGAAGATTTGAGGCCTTGAGAGGCAAAGAGAAAACTTCTGTTTCCAGCGAAGCTCACAGAGACAGATGAAGAGAGCTTTTGCCTTTGAATATCTCATCCTTAAAATGACATCCCTAGACTCATGGCCCATACACACCTCAGAGTGATGTGAAATGGGAGGAGTGAACTGATGACAGATTTCCGGGCAGCTAGCATCAGGAAAATAGAAAGCTATAACAGAAATAGTTTTCTTGTGAGAAGCTCCATAGATTAGCAGAAGAAGACTTCTGTTCTCTACAAAGGCTGATGAAAAGAGTCTAGCAGGAATTGGGACTGTTTTAAACACCAAAGTTCCAGAGTTTTTTTGTCTCTATGTTGTCATGTGAACAAGGAAATGGTTGGGTAGTGGGGTATAAAGGGGTTTTCTGGAGGTTTTTTCTGGTGTTCTTATTCTTGTAGTTTTGTTAATAAACTTTCTTTATTCCTTTTAAGTTTTAAGCCTGTTTTGCTCTTGTTCTAATCTATATCTCACAGCAAGAAATAAGTAAGTTTTCTAGTAATTTTTTAGTTGTTGCTTTAAAACCACAAGAGTTGTGTTTTAAAGACCTTTTTTTCCATCAGCTATAAAAGGAAGTTTTCCTTTAAACTTCAGTGAGACCTTAGGATTTAAGCCTAAGAGACTTGTCCATGTTCAGAAACAACATGGTATTTAGTGCAAGTCTTGTTCTAACACCTTAATCACAAAAACATCCTTGCATCTTTCTGTTGGGTTCTCTTTCACCCTGTGTCATGTGACAGTTTCTATCTTTGAGAGTCTTCCCATTGCAATAAGCCAGCTTATTGGCAAGGTATGAATTTCTATTCAAAGTTCACTGCAGTGAAGAATCAGGCCACTTAAGTGAAAACTATTGCTGCCCTCTAGTCTGTTTTCTCTAAGTGGAAGGTTTTGCCACTTCAATGGTCTGTTGAAAGCTCTGTTTTGCAGCTAATGTTCATGACGTTTCATACAATATTCTAAATATTTATTGTGAGCAAAATGCCTCCAACATTCTCAGCAAGTATTCACAACCAGCATCCATATAGTATTTTTAATATTTTATGTTAATATTTGAGTTAGTGTTATAGTGTCAGCAGGAGCTCTGGGGCTGGTATGATGGAAATTGAAAACTGCTATCAACACTGTGTTCCTGCTCTCTCTTCAGTAGTTCATGACAAATGTAAATGTTAATCTCACTCTACTGATATGAAAAATGCCCCCAAAACAAACTGTAATACAGAAGCCATTTGAAAAAAAAAAAAAAAAAAAAAAAAAAAAAAATTAGGAGTCTTGGGTATTTAAATTAGAAGCAGAAGTGCATACTCATGAATAATGTCATTTCAAAAGAAAGTAGAGTACCTTATGTCTGCAAAGTCATTGGATGTCAGGAAAGAAACTAATAAACAAAAAATTATGTTTCTGATGCTAGTTTAATCAGTTATTAGTTGGAACATTGTGAAAATATTTTTCATTAAATAGGAAATGTGATTGGAATGGAAATCAGAGTCCTTGCTCTGAGAAAAAAAAAATAAAAAGGAATGCTAAGTCAGTGCAAAAACTTTGTTTCTTTGTGATAAGAAATGCATTATAAGTATACAATGGAGATGTTTTTTGCTATCTTCATGAGAATCCAGTTAGCAGATGGGAAACAGAGTGCTTTGATGGGTTCAGTCTTCCTTGATGAAAATTTTAAACTTTTTCTAAAGCTAGCTGCATCTTTTCAGGTATAAATAAACCAGACTAGATTCAATGCATCATCATTGTGCTTGACTAAGAGCAGGTACAGTAGAGCAAAACCAAACAGAATGCAAAGACCAGAGAATAGGTTAAAAGCAACTTTGTGCCATTTGTCTGAGTTTCAGTACTCTAGCACTTGGCACTGTTGGGCCATCCACAGATTAGACTACTTAATGAGGAAAATTAAATCTCAGAGCAGGAGTTAACTGTTGTAGGTATTGTATATACCTACATGATGTTTTGATGAGAAGTGATCCCAAGCAATCTCTGGAGTCCAGAGCTGGAAGTACTGCCTCTGTGCTAGGCTTGGTCAGGGGTCTTTATCTCAAGTGGCACTGCAGCTTCTTTCTCCATGAGAGTGCTTTGAACTCTGAGGTTAGTATTTGTTATAACTCAGATTGTGTCCACTCTGGAAAACATTAAAACCAGATAGGATTTAAAAGGACTCACACATCTTCCATGCTGACATTATCCACTTCAAAAAATAATTCTTTATTCCATACCAAAAAAAGTGTGAATGAACTTGCTCCTCAATCATGAAATGTAGCTCCCTCACTCAGCAGTAGGCCTGCCTTTTCCCTAGTCTTCCTTTTATTGATGTATCTGAAGAAGCTCTTCTTGTCCTAGATATCCCTTCCCATGTTCAATTCCAAGTGGATCTTAATCTTCCTTGTTGTATTCCTGAATAATCTGACAACATTCCCTGAACAGGATACAGGTAATTAATAATAATAATAATAATAAAAAAAGTTATGAAGTGGAAGATTTTTTATTTATAGACTTTTTTCCTTCAATTTACGCACAAGTTCAGCTGAGACAGCATTCTGATATCAGCTTTGTATGGGATAAAGAGGAGAGCAAGAAACCAGTTGCTCCTTTATATTGTCTTTCCAGGGTTAAGCTAACATTAATTTATTCCTCTTTGGCATGAACACATAATGCAATGCTGAATCTTATAATAAAAGTCTGGGAAAAGAATGTGGAAAACCACATCTGTGCATTTCAGAGACACCGCTTTCAATGATGATGGTAATTTTGCAATTC